CACTGACCACCAGAGGGCAGACACTCAATGCAGGAGCTGCCCCATGGTGGTCAGTGGGCTCCCACAGGGGAAGCACTACTCAGCCAGAAGCTCTGAGCCGGGCTCACGGCTGGTGAGCGCAGTGGCAGTGGCAGGAGCCTCTCCCGTCTCCGTGGCAGCACTAAGGATGTCCGACTGCCAGCTTAGGCCCGCTTTCCCCGAGCAGGCCTAAGCCATCAGTGAGACATCCCCAGAGGGCTCCCGGACTGCAAGAGGGTTCAGGCCAGGCTGAGGGACGCCCCTGAGTACATGAATTTTGTGCACCAGGCTTCTAGTTTTTTAATAAGAATGAGAAAGAATTATATGAAGTGACATGGAAAAGGGTCTATAATATTAAGTGAGAAAAGCAAGCACAGAACAAAGTACTAGTACATGTTAAGTTTTTAGTCTGTGTACAAATGTATGTTCCATATATATATATATATATTTTTAATATGCAGAGTATCCCCTTAGGAGACCAGAGTTTGATAGCTCACTGTGACATACACTGACCACCAGGGGACAGTGTGGAATAAAGGAAGGCCCCGGCTGGCAACCAGAAGGCCCCGATGGGCCCTGATCACCAGCCAGGCCTAGGGACCCTACCTGTGCACAAATTTCATGCACTAGGCTTCTAGTATATATATAAATATAAATCTGGAAGGCTCTACAACAAGTTTATAACAATTACTATCTCTCAAGAAGAGACAAGAATTAGGGTCAGGGTGAAAGGAGGTTTGTAAGACTTGTTCAGCATGTATTTCCCCTCTGCCATTTCTAAATGGAACCAATATTGGTCAAGAATTCTATGCCAACCCCATGTTTTTATCTAAACCAATTATGGCCATCCCATCCCCCCTGGCAGTCACTCCCCTGGCAATGAGTCAGCTACCTCCACCCTCCAGATATCCAGAGTGGGAGTCAATCCTGAGCCAGCTCTTCTCACTGCAAGTGCCATGTTATATCTCTCAGAGCAGCTTCACTGAAGCATCTTCATTATCAGCTTGGAGATAAGTAGTGCCCCTTAACCTGTACCCCCAACTTTCTCTTTACATATATTTCTCACAAAATCATCTCTTCCCAACTACTCTCCAATCCACCAACCCTTTTATATTCTTGAAAGTTTGGGGGGAAGTTCAAGAGGTATGGAACCAATTCTGGAGCATATCCTTTGAAAAATACACATATAATCTGACTCCTACAACGTTGTTACCTGATATGTATCATATCATCGCATCTAAGACAAAACTCCTAAATTAACATCCTGTCATTACATGTATTACGCGAAGAGGAAATGGTATTAGACAAAAGAACATGGTCATTGAGGACATATAATATCCCAACCCCAAATGCTGACTCTGTAGAAATTACAGGAATGGTGATGAGGTCAACAGAGGATATTTTGAGGACATGCAACCAAATCACACAGAAATGGCTATCAATGACATGCTAGAGTCTTCATATGTGATTTTCAAATTCTGCTCAGAAAGTTGGAAACAAAAAAAAGGAGATATATGTACTACTCTTTGTAATGTTTTAAGCAATAAAACAAAATTTAAAAGAAAAAAGAAAGAAAGTTGGAAACAGAAATGTCAAGTAGCACATGATCCATCCTTAAAGAAAAAGGAATATGAAAACATTTATCATAGCATAGAATCTAGGCCCTAGATTAACAGGAAATTTGTTGCATTATAGGATAAGGTAAGATGTGTGTACATGCATTTGTGTGTGTTTGTTATATTAAAATGCCTTTCCCAAAATTTTCTTTGATATATTTAAAGGAAATGAGCCAAGCAGAAACTGTAAGTTTTCAAATAAGCATGATGATTTGAAATGGTTTCCATTCCAAACTGTTAAACTAGTCACAGAAAGCTTTGCAAAATTCCAGGTACTAATCAAGTTGCTAATACGATTTGTTAAGCTCTGAAATATGATTCTGTAGGTCTGCATCACTTACTCTACTCACCTCTGAAGCTATCTCTGAAGCTTTTTTGGCATGTTGTATTTCAAGGGTATCAATGCCAACTTGCATTCCTTTCCCTTTAATTTCTGACTCCAGGTCTTTCTTGTATTCTTTCTGAAAAACAGCAATATTTACAACATTCAGACACTCAGGGGACAATCATGTTTGTATTCAATGATACCAAAAAAAAATGGCTTAACATATTTATAAAGAAAAGAAAAAGAAAACACCACAGCTTAGTGCTATGAATGATCACCTAGAACTAGTCTCTGAACCTCTTAGAACTCTCTGCACTATTCTCACTGAAGAAAAGTATATAAAGTTCTGAAGACTTTTACTGTAAAAAGGCAGTGAGAATCTTCACTGACAACTGTCCTGGGGTCTGGAGGACAGGGAGGCAGGTTTAAGTGAGTGGATGCTGTAAAAAGACTGACTTGGAGGCCCTGACAGCTGTGTGACACTGGAATGTTTCTTAACATTTCTGGTTCACTAATATGCAAAATGGGATAATGATTCCTCATGAAGGATCACTGTGAGGGGTATTCAATAACTGACAGCATCTTCTGGTCTTTCACTCCTATACCTATGCACTAAGACCTGATTTATTGCTGCTCTAGTCACCATCTTGCCATTCAACTGCATCTGCCTAGACTCTGCCACTGAGGGTTCAAGACAATTTTTTCCAAATATTATGACAAAGGATTGTATTTGTAAATCTAGGCTGGATATGTCACCATAATAAATGAATTTGTAGAAAAGTATTAATGTAGGAATATGCAATGATAATATGAGCCAAAGATCATGGTGAACAACTGTTGTTTTTGCCTGACTAGCATCCATTCCTCTTTCTTCTGGCAAAAAGTTCCATAATTTTCTTTTCAGGAATTACCTGTAACCCTTCTCAACCCATGCACTTTGGGTTGGTTGATTTTCCTACTCTCCACATATATTTTTAAATCCACTAGAATGCTTTTAATGGTTCCTTTAATTTATTTAAAGAACGGGAATATGGTCAAAGATGAATGTAAATTTTTTAAAACACATAACAACTTAGAATATTTTATACTTAAAACATTGTTAAACTACTTCGGAAGTTAACTATACAAGTGGGTGACCAGGAGAACCATCTGAGGTCATCAGCACATTACAGTCCCCTGACCTTAGACACAATTACTGGGTCAGGTTGTGGGCACAGGATAGAAGCTGATTTGGTGAGAGTCAATCTTTGGACTTAAATTATAACTACAAGAGTTCAGATGCTCACTTCCCACTGGGATTACTGGCCACAAATATAGTTATCTTGTCATTAAGAGGGGCCATCACTTAGAGGCAGCCTCCCAACAGTGAAGCAGCAGAGAAGATAACGGGACTAAGAATGAGGAAGAGAAACATCTGAATTCCAACCTGAAGGAAACCTGATCTTTGGACTTCTCTAGTCAAAACCCAAAACATTTCCTTTGTTGCTCAACCCAGTTTGCGTTGGGTTTCTGTCATTTGCAATCTGACTAACAGGGTCATCAGCAGCAGCATCGCCACAGTTTATTAACAAACGGGTATAAAGCTTTGGATTTTTTTCACTGCTAAATTCAGCTATATTCTCAAAGCACAGTGCCATTGTTTGATACCAAATTTCATGATGTAAAGTGAGCAGTGGCCACTTCCATGTTAATAAAGAGATTTAAGTAGACTCATGAAGTATTCTAGGCAAGGACTGGGAGAGTTGGTTTGTCAGCACGTGAACATTTAAGCTGCAGTTACCACTAGACTGTGATAACACAACTCCCTAATCTTCTGCCTTTTAATTACTTAAAAGATCAAGTTATAGCTCATAAACTTATATTGGTTTATAATATAGATGTGTCTCTAAAATGGGCAAATAGTCATTTTTCTCATACTATATAAAAAGAAGATAATGAGCATCATTTTAAAAAAATCATTGATTAGGAAAAGACTACTAGGACATAGCTACTCATAATCATCTTACACATAAACGTTGTGGAATATATAGAATATATATATTTTATCTATAAAAATATCTATTTTATTTGTACCTATTAAAAAATACAAAATCTTTGAGAAAGATTTATAGATAACAAATCAGCTAAAAGTTCATACATTCCTCGCTGTAAAAGAAATATACTCACCTCACTAGCTATTTCAGATGCTCGTTTTGCTCTTTGAATATCAAGAACTTCTGAATTAAGATCCATTCCTTTCCCTTTTATTTCATTTTCCAAATCTTTTCTATATTCCTTCTATGATATAAAAATAATACAATTTGAAATTTATTGGGAATCTCTTTAATCTTTACACAGTTTTACTTATTTTCTAGAAACCACAGAAAGGAGAAACTATTTCTAGGAAAGAATGAATCAGACTCCTGAGCATTCATGCTCCTTATTTCCCACAGAAAGTTTCTCTTTTAAACATGTTTAGAGTGGCTTCCACTGTTATCAGTCTTTTCCCTTCCATCCTTTCTTCCGATATACTTTGGTACCATATTGGTGCCACATTTTTAAAAATGTCTTTCTTTTAAACGGTGAGGAAGATCTTAGGAATACATGCTTCCTATTTATTTTTTTGAAGTATTTTGCAAAAACTGTCTATAAAATATGAATCACCAAAAGAACATAGTTGAAAAGAATGAAAAATTACAAAATCAAAAGGATTGGTGTAGCCAAAGTTTTAAAAGAAGTTTCCATTTTATTCAAAGCTCATAAAGCTAAATAATTTCCTAATTGGTTAATAATATAATGTTTGAATAGCACCTATTTCAATATTATATTTTAAGTACATCTAAATGTTTTTACTAGCACATGTATAACTTGAGTTTTTTTGTACGAATGAATTTCTTGTTTTCTTACTAACCACATTATGAAAATATCTTAATCCAATTTGACTAAGTTGCACTTATGAAAGATGAAACTTTCTTTAGTGATAAGAAATCATGTTCCAGTTCATTCTAGGTTTTACTTCATGTTATTTTCTCTTTGTATACTATAATGATGTTAGCTGGTCCTCTGCTTAACTAATAGCCTACAAGACATTGTAATGACCTGCATGTAAATTTGGAAAGAGCTCTAAGCGTCAAATGACTTGGAGAAAAGAGTTACTTTAATAATTTGGTTATGCGACCTTCAAGAAGACTTTAAGTAACTGACCTTGATTTCCACATGGACAAAATTAAAATTAAAATACTGATCTACCAATGTTAAAGGCTAATGGTGAGAATCAAATGAAATGCAGCATAAAATGATATTTTGAACACTCTAAATGGCAAGATATATGTAAAAACCATAATAAAGTAAAAAATTCAAAGACTACTTAAAGCTAAATGCTTACACTTAGAAAGGGAAGTTACAATTTCATTAAGTGACTAAAAATACCTTTTTAAAATTAGACACCTCTATAACTTAATTAAAAGATTTTTAATTATAGACTTCTGGACCTTTTTCTATCCTATACATGCTGAATCAATAAATCTCAAAAAAAATTCACTCAAAAAGAGGAACAAAAGAAAAAGGTAATGATATACTATTAAAGTCATTAATGGATTCAAAATAGAGCTCACATTGTCATTTGTATGTAAATTATAAAAGGATCACCCTTTTAAAAAATCACATAAGTAGTGGATATTTCTTATGTTTTTAAAATATGCTTTTATTGATTTTTTAGAGGGAGAGGAAGAGATATGGAGAGATAGAAATACCAATAAGAGAGAAACATCAATCAGCTGCCTCTTGCACGCCCCCTACTGGGAATCAAGCCAGAAACCCGGGCATGTGCCCTGACTAGGAATTGAAATGGTGACCTCTTGATGCATGGGATGACACTCAACCAACTGAGCCACACCAGCTGGGCAAGAGTAAATATTTTTTAAATGGAAATCAATAAGAGTAGGAAGTTGCCACTTGATTAGCTTTCAACTTCAAAATATTTTATAGTAATGAAAGTGAGCAGAGATAAGGTAGCAAAAGAACTCTTCCATAAATTATACACCTATTACAGCCCAACATATATTACAACAGTGAATCACATTAAATGTGTAAAAGCAGTCAAAAGATAAAGCCCAATTGGCACTTCATTTTTTAAATGATGCACTTCTATGTAGGTAATTATACACTCTTATTTCATTGGTTTAAGACATTTCATTCAGGAATAATTTCTTCAGTTCAAAATTCAGCATGAAATGGATGTCTTTAATGCTTTCCCTTAATGTAAAAAGAATCTATTTAAATAGAGAGCTGGAAGAGCTCCAAGTTACTTTGTAGCCATTTAAAAAAAAAATCTACTTGGGGGGGGGGGGGGGGGGGGGGGGGGGGGGTAGGAAGAGATCAACCAAATAAATTGTATGCATATATGCACAATCCATGGACACATACAATATGGTGGAGAAAGCCTGGGGTGGGGACCAGGGTCAGGCTAGAAGGGGTCAATGGGGGTTGGGGGACATATGTAATACTTTCAAAAATAAAGATTTAATTAAAAAAGATAAGACTAAAAAAAAGGAGACAAAACATTTAAACAAGGGATAGACAGTAAGCATGGTATTTCTATTAGATTTGAGGGCCTTAATGCTCAATAAATTTAATACACTAATTGTGAGCCAAATGCACCACTAAATTTGGAGGAAAATCCTGCTGAGAATAAAATAAAAAAATGGACATAAGTTCCTGTGTTCAATATGCTAAATATGTCTTCCCCGACTCAGAACACAAACCACTTATAAGTAATGTACCATATATCCAGACCTTCACACATGAGCACCTTATTTCTAATATCAACTGTCATGAGAATGCTGCAGGGAAGTTTGAGACAAAGCTGGTTCTAATATGGAAATTAAAAACTCTATTAGTAAAGGTCAAAGTGAGGGAAAAAGTAACAGATTAATATCTGAAATTCATTGAATTAATAGAGAAGTGTTAAATAAATACTTCCAGGGTTATTCCTTTAGTTTTTAATTTCTTTTGCAATAACGGTAAATATCAGGATCATACCTCCTTCAGTAAGTTGGTGATGTACTTTACATGTAGAAATTCTGGAGTCTTGTCTAAATCCAGTGATGACCTTCCTTTAATCTCTCTCTCAAAATCCTCTCTGTAAACTCTCTGTTAAATAAGATCACATAATTTTTAAACTAACAACATACTAGTGCCTGTTGAAAAGATATTAGAACAAGAGTCCCCAGAATAAAATTGATATTTTCCTTATGCAATATTACCACCTCAGTCTTCTTATCAACAGGGAAATAACTCCAACTTTATCATAAATTTCAGAATTCTACAAACAGCAGAATCATCAAGTACCAACTCTCTCTGGGAAAGCATTCTGAGTGAGGCTGCTTAACATCTTATGGTCTGTTATTGTTTGACGTCAGCCCATTTGTGGAGGAGAACCAAGAAAGTTGGCTATGCGATTGGACCACCTGACTGGTTCACTCAGTAAAGAGTGGATCCATCCACTGGAAGAAAACTCTGGCAGCATGGAAGCCCATTCCAACCAAAGCAGCATTAATGTTCATGTCCTCATCATCCTTTCCACTGTCTGTGTTTTGTAAATTCAGAAAAGACAATTTATAAAATGTACTGGAGGCAGGAGGGGAAGATTTTCCTTTACTGATTTTGGCATTGAGAATACTTCTCTACCGACTATAGAGTTTGATACGAATTAAGTTACACTGTGAGGAGAATCTTATCTTGAACCTGGGAAATGATTCTTTAAGTAAGTGTTCCCAATAAGAAATGAAAGATGCCAACAGTATCATGGAGAGCCTAAATCCAAACCCACACCTGTCCTTCTGACACTCTGACACCCTTAGGCTATGATTTTCTAAACTCCACACATCTGCAAATCAATAATAACCCACAGTTTATGACTATAAAGACATTCTAAATAACAAAAATATCCATTCATGTGAAATATTTACCAAACAAGAGCCAAAATTTACCAGCTAAATATTTGATTCAAATTGAATCACAAAGATAAAAATAAATTCTGCATGAGATTGCCATAAATGCAAAATGAAAAGCTATTTCCAGGTTCATTATGTACTTATTACAGAGATAGGCAATTATAGAAAGAAATTCTCCATACACAAGGGAGGGTAAGAGAACAGGCCGTCTCCTCACCTACATTTGTGTTACATATTTAACAAATCTAAGAATAGCCAGAGAAAAATCCACAATGGATCTTCCATAAATACTAAAACTAACAAAGCTAGGTAAGAAGTTGCATTGAGAACATTCTGAGTTAAAGGAACTATAGACATACCAAAGAACAATAATGAAAAGTTGTCCTATTGGGCTCAATCTAGGGCATTTCCAGGCCCAAAATGAGTCTTTAAAAAAAGTGAAATATAAATATGTGTGTATTTATATTATTTCAGATACTTCACTTCAAAAAACCCTTCTCTTCTGAAAAACAATTAGTTGACTTAAGTAAGTCATTAAGGAAGGTTGATTATGACTAAAACTGGCCAATATATGACTAAGGAGATTTGTACATTACTAAGGAGGTGTGTGTGTGTGGGGGGGGGGAAGGGGATGGGTACGGGGGAACCTGTAGAATGCTTTTTGTTAGGAGAGCTTTATTTGTGAAACAGAAGACAAATAACTTTTCAAAACCAGATTTAGAGATTTCTTCTAGCACACAGTGATTCATCCTATATCTGGTATTAGAAAAAAGTGAGAGAAGTATAATTATAGGCCATAATAAAAAATGTGAGTGGCTTTTCCTGAGATGATCAACACTTAAGCTTTACACATAGGAGGCTCCCCAAGAAGCTCATGGTCAAGTTGACCTCTTAGTCCTAAACATCAACTCTGCATCTAATTCATTGGTCCTGCATCTAAATACATTTTTCATATCCAACTTTGTCTAACCTGTTTAGACATTTTATTTTTCTAGCATAAAATGTATATGCTAAATTACATAGAATAAATTTCAGACTATAAATCGTTATAGTATAAATTTGGTCCAACGTTATTTTCTGTTGAAAGATTTCTTTCTCCTTAAGCCCTGATAAGCAGAAACATAATGCTGAGCCTAAAAATCGAATAGCCAGTGGCTGTCATTGAAGGGAAACACATCTTAGCCTCTGCAAATGAAGTTCATCCGACCGATTTTATTTTGTCAGTTCTTGATATTTAATTTTCCTTTTGTGCTGTGCAGCCACAGAAACGGTAAAACCCAAGTGCCATCTATCAGACTTCAAGATTTGCCAAGGAAACATGATACGTCGAATGTATAAGCACTTTTTCAGGGCTGAGGGCGCCGTTGAAGTCCTTGTCATCTACACAGTGAAATTTGAACGTGGGGGATCTTTTTCTTTCAGAGGACCATCCTCAATGGAAAAAAAATAAACTGAGCAGTTCATGTAAATTAAGACAATTTAGTCTAATTTTCCCATTGATTTTTTGAGAAGCACATATCTATATGTTTTGGAGTATTTTAACTGGCTTAAGAAGATGAAAAATATACGTAATTATTTTCTCTCCTCTTGCTTGAAGAAAAAATTAAACAAATTAAGATTATTTAACAAGCCAGTCATATCTGAGGGCCCTTTCTCTGAGAAGATGAATTGTAACACCTCAACAAATAGCATCTATAATGTTTATGAAATCCTTATGAGTTTTATTGTCCAGAGTTCTCATTTCTCCTTGTTTTCCTGTTGTTATTAGAGAACAGAAAAGGTCTTGTCCATTGAGCCTTCTTGAAGTGGAGCACTGGGGGTGTGATCAGCTGATACCACTGCCCATTATTTCTAACCTTTTGAAGGAATAATCTTGTTGTACCCACATAATTGGGATGTTGGCTGCAGACAAAACTTTCTGTGTTTGGTGTCTCTTCCCTGCCCCCCAACCCAAAATAGGAAGGAAAAAAAAAAAACCAGGAACAGAAGAAATCATCCTGGGACAAGGCAAAACCAGTGAGGGGAATATGTGGATGAGACTTAGTATAGCTTAAGCGGAGAATGAAGTGGATAAGTGGGGAAAAAACTTATGACTTTGCCCACATGGACACAGCCTATGTTTCCTCGGTCTCCTTGTGCAGGGTCCTCTAGACCCACTAGACATTCTGAACCACTTCCCTGGTTCCTTTCAAATGATAAAACATCAAGTATGTGTTGAACAGTTGAAAACAAACCAAAAGGACTCGCCTCACTCTGCATCTTCTGGGCCTCCTTTGAAGCTTGATATGATGGTGTCTCAACAAATTCAAGCATCGATTTCCCCTTATTTTTTTCATATTCTTCTCTGTACTTAACCTTTATTGAAAAAATATAAAAAGCATATAAAGCTCACGAGCCCTTATGCAAATAGACCAAAGTAAAATAAGTATGTCCCAAATTGATAATTTTTCTAAAAATCACATTATTCTGGTGTTGAAGTTGATCTCTGAGTTCCCTGTAGTTAATGACATACAAAGAAAGAGGTAAGATATATATATATATATATTATGAAGAAACAAAAATAACTTATAATTACTAAATAATGTAGTTCTAGGACTTGAATAAAGTATTTAAATAGCTGGCATGGCATACATAGATACATATCATATACATGGGGCTATATATGTATATACACATATACTAGTATATAGAAAGACAGAGAGAGAGAGATCCTGTGATAGCTGGAATGCCTATCAGTAAAGCATGAACAAGAGGGAAAACATAGTTGTGATTCTCTCTTTTTGTCAAAGGGATGACAGTGTTTTCTGGGATTGCTGAATTTTTCCATAGACATTAAGTAAAACACACATAGAGCTCTTCTGTGATTTCTTTCAGTTTCACTAGGCATTATTTAATAACTAGAGTTCATGCACAGGTGGGGTCCCTCCCAGCCGATCAGGGCCGTCTTGCCCAGTCCCAATCCGGGCCAATTGGGGCCGGCCGGTCACGGGGAGGGACCATGGGAGGTTGGTTGTGGGAGTGCACCGACCACCAGGGGGCAGCTCCTGCGTTACACCCTCTCACAGTCTGGGAGAGAGGGGACAGGGGGCCACAGTGGGAAGGGCTGGGCAAGAGTGCGGAGGATGAGCCAAAACCCACCCCTGTGCCCACCACAGCCTCACAGCCCACAGTTCCTTTCAAGGTGCATGAATTCGTGCACTGGGCCCCTAGTTAATACACACACACACACACACACACACACACTCTCTCTCTCTCTCTCTCTCACAAGGTAGTTGGCTTTTTTAGCAATATTAAAATTATAAAATTAAAATCATAGAAAAGTTTTATGATTCATTTCATTCAGAAATATACTTTCATTTACATTCTATGTTTAATAATTAATAAAATTATTTCTTAAGTTGCATAATAATAATAATTTTAATGATAATTAAATCCAAAAAAATTTTTTCAATACTTAGAACTTTACTGTACCAGGAAACTTAACAAATTTTAAAATTCTTATTTGTAGGCATATTTTTGTTTCAAAGAAGTATGACAGAGTGATCAATGAAAGTGTTTTAATTATAATAACATACTACATTAAGATAAAATTTTACAGAAAAAAATAAAATGAAAATAAGAATGGTAAGAGAAAAATATCAATTTCTATATCCTAAAGAAGAGCTAGTTTGTATATTTTTTAAATAATGGATGTGGGTATCATATCATTATCAAATTTTTGTTCCACAGGATACATTTAGAAGAGTTTTGCAAAATTTAAATTAATAGATGTTGGAATGACATATTTTTCAACTATTGGAACTCAGAACAAAAAAAAATACATAGATACCAACTTCAAAGTGTGCAAGAAGGAAAATATTTTTAAACATTTGTTCGGGGAGTACATAGAATTTCACAATTGAAATAAACATTAATGTAGACTATACTGGCAAGATATAGTTTTACCATTTTCATAATATGAGAAATTATCATAAACTTTGTGCCTGGAAAATTTATTTTGCAGCACAAAATGACAAATCAGTACACAATAAAAATTGAAATCATGAGATTTGATCATCATTTAACGCATATATTGTAAGTTTTAAACTGTGTGGATTTACTGTTATGTTATAGAATGGCTGCACACTGAAACATGATTGAAGCTTCCCAAACTCAATAAATACTGAGAGAAGAGTGTTTGAGGTTTTCAAAAGCAACAGTCACTTTCTCAGGGTACGTGTCTTCAGCAGCTTTACGTTCTTGGTGGAGGCGCACGGCCGTGGGTGGTTAGGGGTCCAGGCTGGGGGGGCACATACCTGACTCTGGAGGATGGCGTTGCCTTTGTGGTGCAGGTGTTCTGCAGCGTCCGAATCAAAATGATACATGCCTTTGTTTTCCTCAAACATTTTCCTATACTCTCGCTAAAATAGAGAACGTGAAAATTAATTTCGAATAAAAGAGGTTGATTAGAGTAACTAATACTTAGGAATGCAAACTGAAAAAACACAAGCCAACAAGAGCCGGAAAGCTCCCATCTGCAGTCGGCTGGTCATGTGGATTTCTAGCAGTGAGCTAACCGGACAATGCAAGATAGACCAGCTCTAGGTGGCCAATGTGAACAGCGTATGAAATACTCAAGAGAAGCAGAGGACAATTATGCTGTAAATACAACATAAAAGACAGTCACAACACTGGGAGTGGCAATGGAAAAGCTGGGCATGAGACTAGAGTACATAGGCAAGGCGAGCAAAATGGAGGCCAGTTGTCCTGTCCTTATCCTAGAACAGGTGTGTGTTTAACAGCATCTCAAAGAAGAAAGAACAGAGGAAAGGAAAGTTGGAGGGAGGCAGACAGAAAGAAGTTGTGTACTTCTCAGCCATGAGGAAAGTGGATGGTCATCGGGACAATGAGAGAGTGAGAAATGATTCAACTAATTGTCCTAAAAGGAGAGGTTAGGGGGTGTCTGAGAGAAAAACTGAGAAACTAGATACAGTCGATTGAATTTTTAGGGTAAAGAAAGTGAATTAAGACTATTTAGATATACAGACAAAACAGTGAATTTGGAAGATACCAGAATGGCTAAGCAAGCCAAATTTGGCAGCTACAGGTCTCTAAATAAAATAGTCACCAATAAGACAAAAATCGCTTCATAATTTTATACTTGGATATTGGACACAGTGATTTTGCCATGTTTGGGAAAGACCTTTGGAAGTAAATGGTAATTCTCAAGGACTCAAGGCTACAGAGACTTGAGCTAAAGTTGGTTGTTCATTAGGCAGTGAGGATTTCAGTGACAATGGCCGCTTTGTGTAGAGTGGGGGAGAGGTAAGCAACATTTGAAAGGGAGCAGGAAAGGTCTGCCATAATGAAACTGACATTGGGTCTTAGCAGATGCTCCAGACATCTGAGAGTAAGCAGGAAGAGGCCCCAGTGCCGGAGATGGGAGGATGCACAGGAGAACTGCTGTTCCACAGAGATACAACAATGGTCCCCAGGGCACTTTCAGGCAATTAGAGTGATGTGTGTGTCCCCAAACTCTAACCAGAATGCAGGAAGAAAAAAAGGCCCCAGGAAGCTCATGATAACATTCACATCATACATCCTAACTGAAGAGAGTTAAAATCAAGAACTAATAAAGCCCAGGATATTATGTCTGGAATAATAAATCTATCCTGAGAAAAGGTCAATGAATATCTTCCCCAAAGCAATGATCTATTTTAGTTATGGAGAATTTCAGAAACTCCTATTTTTTAAAAATTAAATAAGCAAACAAAACCTATTTGAATTAAGATCTGCAAAAGAGCTTTTAGTACTTGCTGTTCCTTATATAATAGTCTCTGTTGCCTCCTAGTGGGAGTTGCACAGAGCAACACACCATATATACTTTTAATTTATGCAAAGTTATAAACTGAAAGCTACTGAAGTTCTATTTTCCAGGGGGAAATGTTCCCTCAAAAATGTAATTAGTATAGCTGCACAAACTCATAAGCACTAATTTCACTCTACACATTAAACATTAAAATTTTAAAAAATGTTGATTTATACTAAAGTCATGTAGAGGTCTTTAAAAACATCCATTTATAACAAACTGACAACTAATTCTGGCAGAATGTCTTTTTATTAAGCATTCTCTTGTTCAATCTTTTAATAAAATTAAGTTGCCTTTATAAATCTACAAAATTCCAATTCTCTTTACATTAAAATTTAAAAGAAGGCAATTCTGATGTACAATAAATTTGAGCCAATATATGATCATACAACTTTAATAAACAGATTGATACCTCAGAGTAATGCATTATGTGACTTAAACTTTTTCTCTTGTGAAGTAATCCTTAAGTCACAATTCTACTATGGGGCAAATGGTCTATAATCTAGGCAAAAGCACCACCTGAACAGAGATTTAAACTTTATAAATGGTATATAAAATAAATCTAATATATGACTTTGTGGGGTTTTTCTGTTGAAGAGATGACAAAAATAATTTATATTAAACTATTATTTTCACCATTATAATAAAAGTCAATATTCTTGAAAAGAAATATTGCCTATGATTGGCATATATTCCTCCACCTACCAAGTTTTTTCACTACCAAGATATTTTTATTGGCATATTTACACATGAATCCTCATGTCCTAAGGAAATTTAACCCAAGTATGGATGAGGAATAGTCAAGGGCAAAATGCCATTGCAAGGATCAAAACCGGACAACGACTGAACATGAGCAAAGCAACTCAGAAAATAGACACGTATTGAATGTAGAAGCATTCCTATGAGTCATGGGGGGAAACCTGGAACTGAAATAAACACTCAACGAGCAGAGGAATGTGTGCAGAGGTGTACAGATGAGCATGTTTCCTGGAACAGCTAGAAAGCGTGAACTAAGTGTCCTGGGACTGAGTCTAATTCTGGGCCTGACAGCCCTCTAACCTTCATTCTCTGTTCAACAGACTGAACAGAATGATGAGCTGCTTTTCCTTCAAAAAAAAAAAAACACTGATCAAAATTATCTGCGAGTATGAATTATTTACATGCACAGTGCATTGCAAAAGGAGGACAGCATGGGTGGTGGAAAAAGGAGGATCACTACATAACGAACACAAGTTTCAATACATCAAGCCAAGGGTAGACATTTTCAAACCTGAACTGAAGCTGTATCTCATTATTTAATAATTTGGGAACCAGCTCGGCCAGTGTGGCTCAGTGGTTGAGCATTGACCTATGAACCAGGAGGTCACAGTTTGATTCCTGGTCAGGGCACATGCCCAGGTTGCAGACTCAATCCCCAGTAGGCAGTGTGTAGGAGACAGCCAATTAATGATTCTCTCTCATCATTGATGTTTCTATGTCTCTCTCCCTTTCCTTTCCTCCCTGAAATCAATAAAAACAAAATATTAAAAAAAATAGTTTGGGAACCAGGTTTTAACGCAGGTCTTTTAAATCTATGACTATGGGCACATCTGAAGACAACTCTTTTCACTTTTCCACATTCCTTGCCCAACATACCTTCCATCTGACCTGTACCTGGCCCAAAGCAGGTATTCAATAAATTTGGATAATTTGAGTGAATGGGTAAGTGAGTGATTATTAAAATAGACGTAGAATAACCTGAGGTCAAATTAGAGTTCATCACCACCATGGGGCATGCTAAGATGTAGGAAATGGGGGCACAGGTGAGCCAGATCACCAGCTATGAGCACCAGTGACATCACCAAGTGTTTGAAACAGCATTCAGGAAGTGAGTGCTGATGGAATGACCCACTTGGGATATCCAAACACTGTCATCAGAACATGAAGAAATCACCCTCCACTCTTAGTAGCTCTGAAGAAAATTGGGAACCTTTACAAGAACAAAAGTAAAGTGTGAAAGCCTTTAGGATTTATTTTCAGAGAAAATACAAATTAGACTAAGACAATTTTTTATGTCACTGAAGCCTATTAAACATCAGACACTCTGCTCTGGCCTGCATAAAATGAAAGATCTGTCACTTAAGAGTCTGAAGCCTTGAACTGAATACAGAAGAAGAAGAAAGGAGAAGAAGACAGAAAGAACTATGAAGTGTAGTTATTCAATAAGAAAGTTTGCATTCAAAAGATATTAAAGGGTTGGCGGGGGGAGGGGGGAAAAGCCCTTTGTAAAGCAACAGCTTTGGTGGGACATAAGCGAGCAGACCACTACTTTTCAATGAGTTAGTTATTCAGGGAACAGTGATGCCCGACCACACCTAAGGAAGCAGGTGCGCTCAAGAGCACTGCAGGCACAGTGGCTGGAGGAAGCCACACCACACCTACTGGTACAGCTACCACAACCACTTACTCTGCTGAGCATTTTGCTGACTTTCAAAGCATGGTCTAAAAACAAGGTTGGGAGATCCGAAACTGGATCATGCATATTTTGAATGTCTTTCTTGTACTTCACCTATGAAAATAACATGGAACACAATACCATCTAGGAGGAGAAAATATGCTTTTGCATTATTGCCATTATCATGTTTAATATATCATAAAGTACTAGTTAGTGGTAAACTGGCAGATGAATTTGAACATAGCCACTAGATGGTGCTCATTTACTACTGAATGCACTGTAAAGAGTTATTTCTAAGGACTTGAATATATTTTGATAATTCTTTTTTTGTTTGTTTTATATATTAAAAAAGGGGTGATGTAAGCAGAATCGAGTAAGTTTAATGGAAATTCTGCTTGCAAAACATAAAGAGAAATTGCTACTGTATTTTGATTGTGCTTTGTGGCAATATAGAAGCTTCTAGTATTTTCATGCTATTGCCATATAAATCTTTTTACCACCTGCTTTGGAAATATAATAATATCAGTAATAATAATAATAAAATATTAAAAACAGAAAATGTATTGAGCACTTACTCTGTGCCAAACACTTTTCTAAGCACTTTATATGTACTGAATATTTAGTCTCCATAACAACCCCAGTACGTAGGTACTTTAAGTATCTCCCATTTCACAGATGAGGAAACTGAGGCACAGGAAGATGAAGGTATGATATTAAGAGACAGAGCAGGATTCAAATACAGGCAATCTGATTCTAAACCTTGTGTTTTCAGTACTATGCTCTAGGTTCCTTTAAGTATATTACAACTCTATTTGCATTATGTTTTTACCTACACACACACACACACACACACACACACACACACAAATACATAAAAAAGAAATCATTTTGATATTCCCAGTGGTCCTAAAAGACAGAAACACCCTTTTCAATTTCTGGTGACAAACAAAATAACAATATTGGTTAATGAACACAAATAACAATACCTTGTAAACATTAATGAAAGTACGATATAAGTGCCAGGATATGACAGAAGTTTCAAAGTGTAAATGACCTAACAAAGCAACAGTTCAACAGTAATTCATCTTAATGTTTGAAAGGGTGCTCTGTACATCCTGCAACTACAGCAAAATGATCAGTTTCTTTCTATGTTTGCTTTTATACTCTGCCTAATTCTAATAAAAAATAAGACATTTTTTTCTTGTAAATTTGAACTTGATTATTTTAAAACACATGAAATGAAAACAAATCTTGTGAAGAAGTGTTACATCATTTACAAAATGGATAAGAAAGGAATTGTTAGCCATTACAGGTACAATTTCTGAAAATGTCTTTATGATAAACTAGCATGTGCCAGGTAGCACTTTACAATTAGCCTCCTTTCATGGGTATTGTTATATGAGTTAACTACTATAATAATCACTAATTTATGATACTGCACTCTACTTTTCTACGAGCTCTGCAATCCATTTCTACTCTTGATCAGACATAATGGTCTTATTAGCAATACTATTCTTATATAAACTAATTAGTATTAGTAACTATTAATAGTAAATAAAAATAATACATTAATTTCTCAAAAAAAAAAGCTTCAAGAAAATATGCTTCAGTGCTTCAACTAAAATTGGTTGGAAATTACATGGTTTTGTTTCATTACAACACAGCCAATTCTGAGAAACCAAGAATCAAAATATATTGAAAATAATTTCCTATGAATTATAAGCCATGGGACACTTACATTGCTTGCCAGCTCAGTGGCAAGCTGGCTTTGCTTAAAAGAAACACTTTCAAGGGGATTGTAATGATGTTTCTTATCCTTCATTTCATTATCAAATTTTTCTTTGTATTTAATCTGCCATAAAAGAAAAAACAGGATAAATTTAGTAGCACATTTATCATTACACTTTCGAAATAGCACATTTGACTTGTAATTAGATCAGATAAAAAGCTACCTTAAAAACGAATGATAGCAAAGTTTAAAATTCCTCATATTTTCATACATATTAAGTTTAATTAGGCATAAATTTTTTATTAAAAAAAACAACCTCTACTTGAACACTGATCCTAAATGCAATTAGGCATGAACTCAAATCCTATTAACAAGAATATGCACTGAATCTCAGGATTTTTAAATATCACTTTCCATTTCTGCATTCCTATAATCTATGATTAATTAGAAATTTAGACCATAAATGAATTAAAGTTTTCCACATTTAGAAAAAAAAAAGATCCTAAGCCCCAGAATTTGAATATGAATTTTCCTGAGGGAATTGTTCCAAATATAAAACATGCTTTGTATCATGGTTTTTCTCACCATTTCCCATTTGTTCAAAAACTCGTATTTAGGGACTATACTTTCTAACGTGTCCTGGCTCTAATTAATGTCATTTTTTGTTCCTCTGCTTCAACTCCATAGTTGTATTCAGCAGTAAAATTAATTCTAACATTTATTCTAAATTATTTTCTTATTTTTATAAGTAATCTTAGGGCAACCAAAGGAAGATTATCAAGTTATTCTACAGAACTGTACTTTGCTCCATGGATAGAGGAAAATAAATGTATGCTAGGAGAACTAACTATATAGACACAAGTTCTTTACCAAAAACAAACAAACAAAAGACTAACTACTCAAATTTCACATCCCCTTTGATTCCTGTAGCCAGGAAAGGATGCACAGACTTCAAAAGCAAATGTAAGCTGTTTTGTTCTCTTATAACATTTTTACCGTTATAATTCTTATAATATTTTACAACATTCTCATAATGTACCTTTATGCATACATAGTAAGGTTGTGCCTTAAAAGAGTGTTTATTAAAAAGTAATTTGGAGATGGCTATTTTAATTGAGTCTGTGTTGTCTCTCTGAGGGACATGTGTCTGGAATCTATGGAAGAGAGCTAGTAAAATTTTGATAGGAGTACTTTTGGAAAATATTTCAAGACGCCTTACAGCAAATATTTTCTGTTGTGGTTCCATTTGCCAATAAACTTTCTGATATTCACATTACCATTTAAATTCAAGCAAAACCTCATTTATTCTAATTATTTGGTGAGGTCTCCCTAAAACAAGAAACGCTCTGAATTAAAAGAAATTATTGTATGTCTTGAAATTGTGGACAATATCACCAATGAAATAAATTTGGAGCTCATTCACTATTTTCCACAGTAGCTGGCACCAATGGAAAAATTTGCCATATTTGCCCCTGCCCTAAACACACAATTTCACTGTCTTTGCACCCTTAACACCCATTTGCTAGGGAACCTTCAAGATATTTTAATTGGTGATTGTGTTTCTCTCTAGCTTTTTAGTGCCTAACCTCTATTCCCTGGACAATGACGGTGGGCTCTCTTAACTGATTTCCCCTTGAATGGAACTCCTGACTCAGCCATACTCACCAACACTCTCCACTTACTTAGTAAAACATTCTGACTGTCGCCCGTGGTGTCCAGAACACTCTTGGCTGGTAGCTATTTAACTAATCAGCTGATCCTACTGTGTATTATGGGCTTGCACCAAGTTTTCTTTTGATTATGCATATTCTCCAACCCCAGGCACCATGAGTGTCTTAGTTATGTATCAGCTAAATGGCAAATACAGGTTATGTAATCCTTGTGCCCACAGAGCCCAGCGTACTTTCCTTGTGCACCATATCGTCCCAGCATGACTACACTAGAAACACAGGCAACACAGAGGGGGTGTGACTTGGAAATTAACCTGGTAATTTCTCATGTCATTAAACCTGGCATTCACTCTTCCTGAGTAAAGGTACCTTTCTGAAAAGCAGTAACAATCCAAGTTGTAATAATTCCTTCCTTCCTCTACTCATTAAACATTGAGCCTGTGTTGAGTTCTTACCTGAGGATGGGAACAGTGATATGACCCAGACACACTCTGTGAAGACTGGTGTCAGTCATCTCTCTCCAAAGCAAATCTGATTGAATCACACACTTACAAATGGTTTAGAAGTAAGCTCCAGCATTTTTGCTCCCATTGGTATGCTGTAATCCAGCTGTACGCTGGCTAGGAGTCAACTGAGTTTGTCCCCCATCCTGTTTATGCTAGTTGTACTTATTATAATTACATAATTTAATTTAATGTTGTGAATACTGGCAAATTTACTGCAAAAAGAGTTTTATTATCTTTATGAAAACGATGTTATTTCTCTGAAAGACTTAATGAAGGCAATTACAAATTCAAAGAAATTGTTGTTAAAATAAGGGTGGTCAGGACAACCAGAAAAGCCAGGAAGGGGCATAAATATCTAGAAGATTCTAGAGCTCAGATAGATTAGCAATATATCTTTTTAAAATGTCTTTCAAAATTCAAATCATAAACAATGCAATATGAGTATGATTTGCAAGAAAAAAACAACACAAAACTCCAAACTGAAGATTCATTTATGAAGAAAAAGACTTGTCACTACATCAAAATGTTGGTGAAATAAATGGGCACATATGTGTTCTGTGTTAAAATAAAATGTTAAAATAGATTTTAATGAGAACTTTATTTTTGAAGATTTCTACCACTGTTTTGCATTAGGCTACACACCTTAAAACTTGAATTTTAAAATGCTGTCTAACCTTTCCAGGTATTCCTGTAGTGTGGGACTAATTATTTAAAGTACACCTGTCATTCATACCCTTATTAATGAATGTAATAATGAGCAAAGGGTTGTGAAATTTATCTTACTCTAACCTTCAGTACTCTGCATGATTTGATTCAAAAGTGCCTAAGAAAGAAAAATGCAAGAATTTCCCTCATTAATTAGCCACAAAGTAAGATAACTGCATTATATTAAAAAATGCATTTACTAGACACTGACACCCAACCATTTCTTACCTCTTTCTGTAAGGATTGCACATAAGTGAACTAAGAAAATAGCCAAATGATTTAAGTGGTTCCTATTGCTCACCTTCTGACTGTTAACTCACAAACTACACCTGCATACCCAGCATTCTCTCCTATTTTCAACACACAGTTCACACATCTGAGTGTCTACCTCTTCATGCACACTCGCATCTCCTAAGGGATCAAGGCAAAGTTTTTCTTTGATTATAACTGGCGACTCAAACATGGAACAAAGGATCTCCAGTTTTAAGACCATATGAGACAAAAAGAGGTGTTGAGAGATTCTGCTGTGGTTTTAAGACACAATGTTATCTCTTACCTAAATCAATTATTTCGGAAACAAATAAAAGTTACTTATACCTATGACTGATTTTATTTGAATGATGAATATTATATCTTATGGTGCTGATGTTTACCAACGTTTTGTTGTTGTTGTTAATCCTCACTCGAGGATATATTTTTTCCATTGAGCTTTTTTAGAGACCGTGTATGGGAGGAGGAGAGGCAGAGAGAGAGAGAAACATCGATGTGAGAGAGACACATTGATTGGTTGCCTCCCGCATGTTCCCGGATGGAGCCTGCAACCAAGGTACATACCCTTGACCAGAATCAAACCTGCAATCCTTCAGTGGGCGGGCTGACGCTCTAACCACTGAGAGAAACTGGCTAGGCTACCAACTTTTTAAAAATGTGGATAGGTATTTAGGGTTAAATGTCTTAGTGTTTCTAAAAAAATTTAACAGACTTAGCAGGACTTTCAGAGACCACACTCGGAGAAAACACTGGAACTGTTAAATTACAATGATGTAACTTAAATTAGTTCTTTAGTGCCGCATCTGCACAAGGCAGTGTTTCAACAGTCTGAAGACGGACTTCTATACCACAAGGGAGTATAGGCTTCTGACATCTATGGCTCAGATTCACAATGAGTCAGAAAAGGCAGAAAAAAGCAGACCCTGAACAAAAGCTTTTCATCATGACTAAAGGAACAAATATTAGGAAAGAAATGGAAAATGTGATAAGTATAGCTTAATTATTAGTGAAAATGACAAGTAAACAGATAGCACAATGCCAAATATCTATAGGCATTAATTCCTTCCAATACTGGATAAAACTGAATTGGAAATACTGTCAAGCAAGAGAATAAAATAGATTTTTATGTAAAACTCATCATAAAATCAATAACATTTTAAGTCTGAATTTTAGACAAGATAACATTTCTATCCTCACTTTCATAACAAAATAATATCTTACTGATTTTGCACCAAATGTGGATGATCTCAAGAAATTTGTTGAACATATATATATTGAACACCTAATCTATGCCATTCTATAATGGTGGATTAAATACATATAAACCCTGTCCCCACAGAGCCTACTGTGTGGTAAATAAAGTAGATATCTAAAGCACACATATACATATATATGAATATTAAAATTTATGTTAAGAACTATAGAAAAGAACAGAGAGAGTGATACTACTTAAGTTGGCAAATCAAGGATGTGACATTTAAGCCAATACTTGGGTGTGAGAAGGTTGGTGGACAGAGTACTTGACAGGAAGGGAAATGAGACATTCTTTAAACCAATGACTACCCCTTACAATTTAAAAACAATGCTTATTATTAAATGTTAATAGAAATCTAAAATGTGATTTTTTTAGGTTTAAAACACATTCTTATCAATACAGCAAATGAAATTTTAAAAGAAATACTAATTATTATATATAATACAAAAATTTTCCTTTGATATTACAAACTAAAGAATCCCATTCATTATAGATAAATTCCAAGAAATAAATTAAGATGATATATGAATATATTAACAAATTAACTGCTCTTAGAATTTTTAAAGATGATTTTAATAGTTCTTACACTTAACGTTTGAGACACTCATAAATACACCAATCTCTTCATTTTGGCACATAAAATTTACTTCATTTTTTTACTGATTTTCTTTTAATTACTTGACTATAATGTTATGTTTCTCCTAAGTCTTAAAAAAG